GTCCAAGGTACTTCTATATTGAAGAAACGTCTGGCATGTCTCCTCAACTGGGGTTTTCCTGATCTTCTTGTGCCAGCAGGAACTCTGTTCTCTTGGAAAAGAGTCTCTTAAAGGTTAGGTCCATAGGTGGGTGTTTCTTCAGTATGATGGGAGTGGAGACTTGTGGAATCTATGACTTTCATACTGGAGATAACAGACACATAGCAATGTTAACGGCAAAGTAAAGAAATACAATGAGCAACAATGCCATAAAGATTAAAGTGCATAACTTTTTAAAACATCCAATATTCCACTAAACAAAAATTTCCTAAGGATCCTAATCCAGTTAGGTTAGCAGGGAGCTAAGCATAAGTTTGAAGACCACATATAAAGTATGATTCTTTTTATAAAGGATCGCCTTAGATGAGAGGAAATATTACATTTGGCAGCTTATACTATCTTCAGGGGTACATAAAGATTCAGGTAGACTTACTAGTTTATCCTTTTCTTCTGCAATACTAAATACACATTAGATTTGGGTTTCATTAAAACTAGAAAAACTTGAGGGAACTACTATCATTGGAATCAGACCAGTGTGCAAGTATAAGTGTAAGCACATCCAACACTGTACTGACATTATTGCTGTTTACATACAGTAAAGGGATAATGTTGCTTCCTAATTGACCATTTTACATTATGCGTGTGGCCTACTTCATTCCCACACTTTCATTTGTACATACTGATATGCCTATTATTGCCATAAAAGTCACAGCAAAAATGATTTTCCCTTCTCTTCAAATGTTGCAATAATCACTTCAAAAGTTTTTGCAATGGCTAGTATGTCTTTAACCAAACTTCCATTTTAAGCTTGACTGCTGTTTAGGACGTCAGTAGAACTTAGGATGGGCCTTCAAATTTTTGCAACAGAGGAAGGGTCTGGGATGGAAGAATATATTAGCCACATGCTGAAAGTATGTTAACACACACACCAAAACACTTAAATAACTGAATGTAATCTGTCTTGGCTTAGGGAAGAGTCACAAAGGGACAGTCACTATTCTTTCTGGATTGTTCCGGGCACAAGAGAGGCAGGACACACAGAATCGGGCAGCTAAGGTAGAAAATCCATATCTTACCTATATTGCGTCTTTGGACAAGCGGCCCAGTCCATGCGCTAGCTGTATCGCCATGGGGAACAAAGTTTCAGGAGCCCATCGAATCCTGCAAATCCACAGGCCCTGCTCATCAGGGGAAGCTCCGTCCTTCCTCCATAGTTCCTTTCCTTCTCAGGTGCCTGAATCCACAGACAGACTAAGGCTTCCTTGTCTCAGGCTGTTCTGACATATTAGAGAGCAGCTTACTTCGCTGCCTTATCCAGCCACTGCTCTACTCCCTTCTACCTCTCTCGTACCAACTGTTGTATGGGTCTTTTACCTTCAGAATGGCCACCTCAAGGGGCTCATAGAAAACCCTAAACAACCTCTCTATTAGATTGGCCTGCCTGACCAGTCTCCCTGCACATGTTAGAAAGTGCACAGCTTTCCAGATAGGCATATCTAGAGCAGTTGTAGTGCATCTCTTGATTGTCACAATGAGAGGAATCTGGACATAGACAAGCATAAAATGTTCTAGCATTTGGTGGACTAGGTATGGGACCATAATAGTTAGGGAATGTATTAAAATGATTTGCACTATTCTCTCCAGTAAGAGAGCACATGCCACTATAGGTGTATGTTTAATAAACTGTGAAAGAGTGTGATAAGCAGTGAGAAGGCTTTTCTCACCTTAGCAAAGTGAAAAGTCTAGAAATGGTGTTTAATAACCCGTGATAAGTTAAGTAGGAACTTAAATATCTCACCTCTTCTCATCCTGGTGATAAATACACAGAAAGTAATGGGAACGTACCTGTTTAATAAAGGGAGAAAAGTATGGAATGCGGGTGGGCATTTTTAAACGTCCTAACCTGCCCCACTCGTGCCCGCCGCTAGGCGGCGCGCACGAACGGGAAATCGGCTTCGAATGTAAACAGCCAGCGATGGCTGCTTACATAGAAGCGTTCAGACGTCTGTAGAGACGCCCGATTGCTTGTAATATGCGTGCGTTTGTGCGCCCCCCCCCCTCCTTTGCCGCCGCTGCTGGCAATCCCGAGCTCCGCTGTGCCCGGACAAACTACAGTGTAGACAAGCTGCGGTGCGAAGTGGAAGGTTGCGATTTTTTCGCTTCGCCTGCAGTGTGTCACAGCCTTGAGAGGGAAAAGGAGGGAAGTCTGTCTTAATGCCACCCTTCCCTCATGAGAGTGACAGTGGCAGTTTCAAGTCCCCTCACTGTATCTGTGTAGTGTGAGGTAAAGTTCAGTAAGGTCATGTGACCTTAGGGCTTGTTGTTGAAGGCTCAGTCTCCCTCAGAAACAGGCCCACCAAATTAAGCTTGAAGCATGTCTGGGGAGCATGTTTTACAGGCAGATGCAGTGAACATTGCACTCCACACATAAGAGTCTGTAAGACCATTTCGCCACCATGGTCCGCCGTTTGTAATGCATTAATACCTGATGCTAGTGTGTTTGCACACACACAGTGCTGATGCACCTGTCTCGGGACAGTAGGCTTTTTTCAGGGACGCCAAACATTCTAATTTCCAGCATGTGTCAGAGTGTCCACTTACATTGCTTGGCTCCATCAGAGTGCCCCTTTAGAATGTTTAACCCCATCACTGCCTCACATTGCGGCCGCCTCTGGTAGTGTGATTCATGCTTTTGTACTGGTACATGCTGAACAAATCGGAGCGTGTAAATCCTGCTTTTTAGCAATTTTCATCATTTTAACAAAGAAATAACTGTTGCACTTTGCTATAGAGGTGCTTTGTAATATTGTTATTGGGTGTTTTGGCAGAGTAAACTATGATCCTGTCAGGAGGATTGTAGATTATCACAGAGGATGTCATTGTGCAGCTCAGAATACATTCCCTGCATTGCTTTCTCTACTGATCACCTTGACGACTTATCTCAGCCTTTCACAGCTGTTTCGTGTGATAAGTTTTCTTTTCGCAGGTTATTAAACAGCCTCTGTGCAGCCGAGTAAAACAAAGTGATCTGCTGAGTAAAGTTAACTTGTGATAAAGCTAGTTTTATCACGGTTTATAAAACGTACACCATAGTGCGCACACAAATAGGGGAGCCATTAAAGACTGAGTCCAAGGGCATAGGGGCATACAAAACAGGTCTATGTTTGTCTCCATGTAGTTATGTAAGGACTCCCGTAGCATTTCCTAAGAATTAATTGCAGACTAAAACAAAAGGAAGGTAGTAACTGGACAAAATCGAGAGCAGGTGCCTTTGCCAGCATATAAACTTTTTCCTCCATTAAGGGAGATAGCTCCATTAGGGCAACACAAAAGATCTCTAATAATTGCTTAAAACACAGGAGCTAAAAGATTGGCATCTGTCAGGAGAAAAATTCTCCTGCTTTAAAAACAGTTCTGGTAATAGTGGTGTGTACAAGGCAGTCAGATGTGGTCTGCCTATCTGTCTCCTAAAAATACAACACCGTTTTCTACATTCTTTCCACACATTCATTGTCTGTCTAATTTCTCACATACTCATCCATCCAACCAAAGGCTGTGCACAAACTCCCATGGGCTGAATACAGACCCCCTTCTTTTCTAGCAGTGGACAGCTCACTACTACATTCCTTTCTAATGTGTTTATGTGGAAATAGGTGCTTGTAGTAGATCCTCAGACTCTCCACCTGAGAACAAAAGGGTTACCTGTGGCATTGCTGAGACTTATTGTGCCACTGATATGGTGGGAGCTGTATCTAGAGTTGGCAAACCGGCTCCCGCTACTGTAGCATATGAAGGAGGGGTCAATTTCTTAAATTCACACGGTACATGGAGACTTAACCATACACGTAGTGATCACAATGTTTGCTGAACTGCTCACCAGAATGTAATCACAAAGTCACACAAATGTCGACCCAAGGAAGCCACAGTTCATAAAGATAACTCCGTTCCACTTGATACAACAAATTGAAAGAAGAAATTAACCGTGCAGGATTTATAAAAGAAAGGTCAGCTTTCTGAAGCTGGGTTACCTTGCAGCTAGACACCTACGAAACTATGTACACGACAGCGCTCAGCATAAAGGGTTTCTTCAACTTCAAAATGTTAAGGGAGAAGGCTGCCGTCTCCAAGGCCACTGGGAAGTATCCTCACAACACGTAAAACAGACAAACAGCGCCTTATCCTAGTGTATTAATGTTTATTGGATAGAGCAATAAAAAAAACATGAAAACTACTCGTATAGAGGTACATTGGAAAAAGCAATAAAATGTAAAGCAGGTTCCAGAGAAGACTGGCTAGCTGACTCGTTTCGGGGGAGCTTCCCCCTTCCTCAGAGCTCGACACCCATGAAACCCCATATCACATAGAGAGTACAGTAAGCAAAAAGGTTGCCTACTAGGCGCCATTTGTCTATGTTCCAGGGTCCAGATCAGGTGGGTTCATTCAGCTGCGCAGTTTTCGTGTTCATTCCTGGCTTAGAGCTTTTCCAAGTTGTTTTTAACAAATTGTTTCTTGTATAAAAAAAAGGTAGCCCCCTTTTTTTATGTATGAAACCGTTAACAGTCCTTCATCTGTATCTGACCAAACTTGTTGCCCATAACTTACACAAATAAAAAGGTTAGTAAAGTATCTGGAAGTGTATATAAATAAAGGGACAGTTCAGCACTTGCTTTTCAGAGGACCCATGTCAACAGCTTGCGCCTCGCCAGGGTTTGAGGGCCTCTAGTGAACCTCTACAACGTACTTCTAAAAACTTTAAACAAACATCAAACACCAACAGTGAACAGACAGATTAGATAACAACTAACAGACAAGCAAAGTGCATGCAGCAAAAATTGAAGACTGGGGTAGTGTCAGGGATAATAGATGCTTTGGAAGCATCAGGATAAATATACTCTATTGTGCTGCGGTATACCTGAACTATAAATATTAAGGGTGACTTATGTGTTACGGTTTCCCTCCAGTTTCAGCAACAGGGGAAACCCATCTCCCGGGTGGAAGCCCCCCCGGGGACACAGTGAAAGGCCTGGACTGCGATGTATCATCAACCACTTGTATTTAAGACTCGTCCAGCACTGTGATGATATATTTGTGCTTAATAAATATTCTTAAATAGATGCTGAAAGGATTCAATGTACATATCTTGCGGGCCCAATGCTAATCTCCCCAACAGGGGGTGCAATATTTGTAAGACGTTATGCAATCTTATATAATGTTTGAAACAGCATCTGTGCCTGAAATGTATCATACACATTGGCCAGTCTAAGGAGCTGTCAAAACGAATAGCAGGGAGGTGACTCACTCTGCTACCTCTCTGCTATCTTCAGCTGTCAAATACAGGATCGCTATTTAGCGCTTCCTTATTTGTATGTAACGGCTTCATTCTTTCATTAATGAAAGAAATACGTTTTTACAAAAGCTTAACTATTTCATTAATGCATGCCTCAGCATTGTGTACGTGGCCAGTCATATAGGCACTTCGTGGCGGGACGTACAGTGTACGTCTCCCGTCACAAAGGGGTTAATATAGGATAAACTTATAATGTGCATTCTAGAATTGTTTCTTGTCCTTGCACACTTCCAAACCCTGTTCCTTATAAGAATTATGTAAAAAAAATGTTTTCATACTTAATCCTGTTGTTATGCAGTGTAGATCTTTTTAAAATCTATTGTTTCACTTATATATTTAGTTTCTTTAATATAGCTTGAAAAATTTGATTGTTTTCCTTCACTTACTATATATCAGATATTTCTGTATTAAATTTGTCAAAAAATATTCTGTCTTCGTTGGAAAATGTAGCAGATATTGCCTGTCAGCTTAAGAAACTAGAAACCCTTGATCTCAGGTATGGTTGTTTTCTTTTTAACTGCTTAGAGAAAATGTATACAATGTTCTGAGGAACACGTAATGAGTGATTACATTTCTGTGCTAGTGATTTCAATGTTTTGCACTTAATTCATTCCACCTGTACATTCCACCTCACCCTACAAATTGGTAAGTCAAAAAAGTGAGTAATGGTGTGTTTAAGGGTTTGTTTGTAAAGGGGAATGCTGGCTAAAGCTCCCTTTCTATATGTCTACCTTAGGATGGACACAGAATTTCTGCCATCTACAGGGGGATTGAACACTAGGCACAGAAACTACTCCTAAACCAACCATGCTCAGTTTAGATTAGTGTCCTTTAGGAGGATGGACGTCTCTCCTAGCTCTGCAAGCATACAGCTGCTGGCAAATTTAGGTTGGCCACTTAGCCACTTGGAAGTCTATACAGTTAGCAAAACACAGGTTTTCTCAGTTCACTGTGGTGAACTCAGGCCATGTCACCACAGTGGCACAACTAGATGTGTCATTGTACAGGCAGGGCTCTAGTACAAGCGTCTAGCCAGTGTTTTACTTACTGTGAATTTGATGCAGTTATTCCTTTAGGTTCAGATCTGTAGGAGTTTCTTCACCTGACCCTTCCTCAAAATACTCTCTTCTCCTGTAAATAGACTGCAAGCAAATGCATGGGCTGTGTCAAGGGAGGGCTTCCTCCTTTTTTTTGAACTGGGACATTGTGGTGCTTGGTGTGCACTACTGTAACTGCAAACACTACTCTACATTCTAGCTGCCATGCTGGATGAGTCACCTTTTTCTCAATGGGCATTTTTACTAGCAGCACACCACTCCCTCTCTTCAGCTTCCAGTACTTCTCACTCGACAGGGGATACAGCATGGTTTTGCTATGATCAGACAGCCCTTCTTCACCTCCTGCAGCGAGGGTTGTCACACAGTTCTCCACTTTGTGGCCTGATCGCCACCTGCTTACTCTGTCTTGAGTACCCATAGCGACCTGTGGTGGGACATCCTTCTGCTCTTGGCAATACAATTATTTTGTCTCTGCTAGAGTTTTTCTACTGGCAGTGTATGGTGCCAAGCAGCATGTGGGTCACTTGGCTGACATGGGTGAGCCAGTTGCACAGTGCTCATTCTGTGTGTGATCCAATTGCAACATAAAATGTTTTCCTATAGGGATATGCAGAGCTCTCAAAACAGCATAGGCTGTAAACTCTAACTGTACCAGAACAATGGGTGTAAGTACAGTATATACACTGGTTTTTGGTGGGAAACTGTATTTACAAGAGTATAGGATGCTTACAGGATCATGCCAGCTGCTTGTATGCGATACCCACCATTTTTTGCACCAGCGAAAGCATGTATACATATTGGACACACCGTGCATCCTAGATTGTGAATAGATTTGAATATCAGCAATTGATGTCCCTAGTCACTCATACCAACTTTGCCATCATGATCATCCGCCCACATTATACATATTGCTGTTGCCAGAGCATCTTATCTGTGGAAATATGTATTTATAGAGGCACCAGATATTTTCATTGGATTAGATGAGTGTTTGGGGGCTTCCCTCTTGCTTATGTAAGGGAATTATGTTATTTTTGTAACTGTTAATATAATAAGAACTTTTTAATTATTGTATTTTTTATGGGATTTTCCATTACATTCCATACATGCTTTGTCTTTTATACACTTTGGTTTTGTTTTGTTTTTTACGTGGCGTTGAGCTCTCTATATGGGTTTATTTAGGGAACATTGTTCTTTTTATAGCTTTTCATAGTGCTAGTGCTTTTCTTACTGCTTCTGTATTCAATTCTGAGCCCTCGCTCCCACCTTCTGGTGTCTCAGATACCAACTACTTTACTGTGGAAGACTACTCTGAGTTATGGAGGGCTCTATGTCTCGTGATGCAGTCTGATCGCAGGAGTTAAAACTGCCCTTGACCCGACTCGCCAGCAGATTCCAAACTAGAAATTCCAGCTATTATTAAATCTGACAGGTCGTCATCTGTGGGGCAGTTGTTTTTATCTGAATTCATACCCTCAGATTGTGAGGTGTATCTTCAGTCCCATTTGTGAGGTGTAAGCGTTCACCCCGTTTTATCATAGCTTGACAAAGAGGCCCGCCTCGAAACGCGTAACTACCGACCCCGCATACACCGCCCTCCAGTGCTCATTGACCCTCCTACCACTCCCGTTGGCGTTCGTTCCTGTCCGAACCACCGCTGTGCCTCCTGAGCCAACTGACATAGAGCCGACGGCAGACAGCACCTCGGACACACAGTGCCCTCGGCCGCAACGACTCAGCCTGGCCAGCTGTTCTCAGGTGTATCTTCAGGTTGACCTTCAGTCCCCAGTTCTGAAGTCTAAACAGAAAGAAGTTGTGTCCCTCCTTTCATGAAATAGTACACTACAAGCTAAAGTTGCAGGATTTACCTACTCCAACTCCTGGCACAATGTCAGGCCATGGCTCCTATAACTAAAGATGGGGACAAACCACAGTTATGATTTTAAGAAAAAACTTTTATTCTAATCAAAATAGCATTAAATAGAGTACACACAGCTGACAACTTGCTGTCAACTAATTAAAAACCGATGGCTAGTCAAACTGACTATGATTAGTAGTTGGTTGGAAATATGGACCCTTGATTGGCTGTACACGTATCTCTCCTGATTGTGAATGTTTATTTGCGGTTTAGGATCTAGATACTCAAGTGTATCTAAAGTGTTTTCATTTTATAACGATGAGTGATCATATCAGCATCGCCTTGAGCTCTATACAAGTTACATAGATATCTAAATAGGTTACAGATCCTACATGTTGCTATTTTGTATATTTCATAGACCTGTCTTGATTCGACAGTGGATGGGTCTATGGTAGTTTTTTAACAAAATAGGATTCTCATTCCTAGATATTTAAACTTGGATGAACAGTAGCTTCTGGGATAGTGTCCCTATAATTAGCGGTATCTTTCTTTTAGATGTAGTATCCGATTGCAGGGTGGGTTAGTTCTGTCAGAGAGAGGCGGTCAATATCAGCTAAGATTTCTCTTAGTGTGTTAGTCAGTGCATGGTTAATTATGCTTGATTCTCTCTGGTGAACTATATTGGAAAGTTTTCCACCATATATATCTAGACAGGGGGACAGTTCTTTTTAAAGCGATAATTATAACTTAGTTTTGCTGATTCGTGTTAGAACCGAACAGCAGATCTACTCACGTGACCTAGCGGTCAGTTCTTCGATCTCCATTTCCGGGTTCTCACTGGTGGTTACGTATTTTTAGTTTAAATCAAACGCCTTTGATCTCCCTTTGTTATCCCCAATGTTTTTCTGATGTTGGCGGGTTATCCAGATATCGGTGATGAAGACAGACACTAGTGCTGTTAAGTAGATCACTGTTGATCAGGATATTGAGGCTGTACAGCCGAAGTTCTCCGGGTCATTCACCTAGTTCAAAGAGCGGCGTCTACACGTTTCGCCCCTCCCCTCGGGGCTTCGTCAGGACGTGCTGCTTTACAGGTGTTGGGCACATATAAATGCCTTTCTCACCTGTTGACTAATTATTAATCCAGTTTGCTGGCGTCATTGAATTTGATTTTCTCATTGCTCAGGAAGTATCCATCGGCAACGGAGAAATGGTTTGTAAAAACAAAATCAGTGAGATTATCCATAAAAAACGAAACGCAAAAACCTTTGAACGATTTCTTGAGAGGTTCACAGGAATGTATTGAGGTTGAATTCGTTGTTCAAACCCATCGGTGCTAGGGTGTTCAATCTATACACCCACATTTTTGCTTTTTGTAGGAGTATAGTATCAAAGTCTCACCTCCTTGGGGGCAGTTTTAGTGCATATATGGCTTTTACTTTTAGACCTGTTGTTTGGCCGTCATGGGCCTCCGCAAAGTGCATGGCTAGAGGACTATCCTTTTCTTTTTTCTTTATATCGTTTAAATGTTCCCCGATTCTGATCCTTAGTTGTCTTTTTGTTTTCCCAATATAGTATTTCTGGCATGGACATTCTAGTTGGTATATTACTTTGCTGGTTTCACAGTTAATGAAATGGTTAATACTGTAGGTTTTGGTGCCTTCCGTATTTTTGAACGTATTTGTTTTGTCCACCAGTGGGCACATCCTGCATCTACCACAGGGGAACATTCCTCTCGGTTTATTATATCCTTGATTTGACCGTTTCGGTCTGAATTCTGAGCTCACTAGCGCATCTTTTAAATTTGCTGCTCTTCGCACTGTCAGAAGAGGTCTCGGACCTACTATTTTGGTTAGGGTTGGGCATAGTTCGAGGATGTTCCAGTGTTTTGTCATGATAGATCTCAATTTTTCCCATCCCGAGCCGAATTTGGTGATCATTCTTGTGTAGTTTTTATCTTTATTCAGGTCATCTTCCCTGGGTTTATCTCCCAGTAATTCGGTTCTTGTTTTTTCATTTGCTTTTGTTTTACTTTTTCTTAGGGTCCTGTGTGGGTATCCTCATTCCCTAAATCCTTTATATAGAGCTTTGGATTCATTGGCATAATCTATTGATTTAGTGCAGTTTCTTTTAATTCTTAGAAATTGGCCAGTTGGAATCCCTCGTTTTAACGGTGTTGGGTGATGACTTGTGGCGTTCAGCAGTATTTGCTGCTGTCGGTTTGCGAAAAGTTTTAGTCACTATTTGACCACCACAGACCCATCCACTGTCGAATCAAGACAGGTCTATGAAATATACAAAATAGCAACATGTAGGATCTGTAACCTATTTAGATATCTATGTAACTTGTATAGAGCTCAAGGCGATGCTGATATGATCACTCATCGTTATAAAATGAAAACACTTTAGATACACTTGAGTATCTAGATCCTAAACCGCAAATAAACATTCACAATCAGGAGAGATACGTGTACAGCCAATCAAGGGTCCATATATCCAACCAACTACTAATCATAGTCAGTTTCACTAGCCATCAGTTTTTAGTTAGTTGACAGCAAGTTGTCAGCTGTGTGTACTCTATTT